AACCCGTGCTGGTTGCCCCTGAGCATGCCGTTCCCTGCTGGCCCCTCCTGGATGTGTGCCAGAATAATTTTCTCGAACAACTTGCCCAGGATTGAGGTAAGGCTGACTGGCCTGTAGTTCCCCGGGTCCTCTCTCCTCCCCTTTTTGAAGATGGGAACCACGTTGGCCCTCTTCCAGTCCTCCGGCACCTCTCCAGAGCACCACGAGTGTTCATAAAGCCGCGCCAGGGGACTTGCAATGACCCCAGCCAGTTCCTTTAGGACTCTAGGGTGAAGGTTCTTTGGGTAAACCCGATATCTTTTATTAGACCAACTCAAATAGCTGCAAAAAATCTTCTTGGCACAAACACCCAATGGGTTGAGTGTTGGGTCCCAATCCTGGCATGTGTTATGCAGCTTTAGGCAAGCCACCTAATAAAAGGAGAGGGCAATAACTGCCCCATTCATGTGCTTTATTATGGCTGGTAGCTCCACCATCCAATGCTATCAGCCTCCTTCCTTGGTGCTTTCTTGCTTCTCTTTTGGGATTTGGGGTGGCCGGCCCCTGTTCAGTGCAGCACTTCAATAAAGCAGCCTCGTCGAACTCTGCCGGGCTGCTCGGCACGAGATGAGCATGCCCCAAAGAGGCTTGGCTGACCTGGGGACGCAGTCTGCTGGGTAGTCCTCGCAACGAGGGATTCCCCAGCTATTGCTGGCAGCAAAACTTGGTATTTCTGCATGGAGAAAAATAACAATCTGAACTATTATCCTGCACTGAATTCATCTCCTGGTGTTTTCAGCTACTTAAAAGCTGTGAAATGTGTTTGGTGCCATTCCTCCAGCTGCTGACGTCAGTGCGACTGCCACTTTCCCTAGCTCCTCTCTCCTCTTCCAGGAAAATGTTCATGTCAAGAGAAGTTCCTGGCCTGGAAGCGTTGGACCGCACACTTTCTCAGCTTTCAAGGGCTCTCATGTTTCTGTGCCTCCCCTTCCTGCAGATTCGGCACCATGGCTGTTTGACAGCAGTGCACGCTCTGCTTGTCTCTTCACCTGGCATCGAAGCCCGTGGAAATCGGGGCCTCGTCGTTTGCTCGTGTTCACTGGACCACCCCCCTCGGATAACGTAAATCTGCTGAACACCCCTGGAATCAGTGGAGCTGCCCCGTTTTACCCCAACACGTTGTTCGCAGCACCGTCCCATGGCAGGTGATACCAGAGCAGCTGTCTCGCTTTGTGAAGGAATGGGCCAGCGTCTAGCTTCCACATCCGTCTTTATTTAAAAAAAAAAAAAAAGCCCAAAAAATCCTGCCATGCATCTCACTCATCCCATTTTAAACACATGAAGCCTCAGGGCCCTCAAAAGGGGCATTCCCACTTCACAGGACTTCACGCGACCTCAGTCCCCGGCTCTTGGACAGCGAACGTTGCTGTCGGAAATGGCGCCTGCGTGATTTTTCTTTCTGGGGTGATTTGGGTCCCCTCTGTCGCTTCTTGCTATACTCAGGTACGATCTTGAAACACCGTCCTCTATTGTATGTCAGACACTTTTCTGCTTAGCCAGGGCTCCGTGACGAACCCTCGCGGGACATTAATCCCTCGCTACCGACTCCGTGGAGCAGGAGGGCGATGCTCTCACCTACGTGAAACCCACTCGACACCAGACCGTTTTCTCCAATGCCGTGTTTTTGCCCAGGTTTGGGACCACTTCAAACTGACGTGTCCAGGCCCCTGTACGGCCATTCAAGAGTTTGTCAACACCCTCACAACACCCCTTGCCCAGTGTTATCCTTTTCTCACAGGTGCGGCAACCACGCACATGGGGGGAAAAGCCCAGATTATAACACACAACACAACACGCTAAGATGCAACACAACACAAGGCAATACAATAGGATGCAATACATCCTGTAACACATAACACAACACAATAGGATGCAACACAACACAACACAATCGGATGCAAAACGTCTTATAACACAACACAACACAATAGGATGCAACACAACACGATGCAGTAAGATGCAATACATCCTATAACACACAACACAACAGGATGCAACATAACACAGTACAATAGGATGCAATACATCCTGTAACACACAACACAACACAATAGGATGCAACACAACACAGTACAATAGGATGCAATACATCCTGTAACACATAACACAACAGGATGCAGTACATTCCCCAAGGCCAAGCTGCCCAGCTCTGCAACACAGTTTTTATGCCTTTCCTTGCTTACCTGTCAGCACCCACCCTGCAGCCAGAACTTAGCAAGAACAGCACTAATAAGACGAATAAGAGCACCGAACCTGGCTGAAGCCCAGCCTTTCCATCCTTTCTTTTCTACTGGGGTGCTACGGGGAATGAAAAGCAGGCCAGGAGGATCTGGCACGGCGTGCACTCCAGTTAAAGCCCAGCTGAAGCAAAAGCAGCAACAAGCAAAAAAATAAAATAAAATAAAAGAGAGAGAGAAGAAATAAAAAAAACAAACCCCAAGCCCTGAGGCCCTGAGCAAAGACAGATGTTTCTCCCATCTTGCATCTCGTCAGCATGAGGCAGCTGTGCCTTTCAGCCAGTAGTCTTGTCAGCGGTAGGAGGAAACAAGCACACATTTAGGTCATGGGGAGCTCCAGTTAGAAGTCCACGAGATTTATGGCCAAGTTTGGGATGCCTTTGATGCCAATGAGAATGTATGAATCCCTTCCGATCATTTTTTTAAGCTCAGCTGTAACCCCTGAGCGTGTTTCTTGGGAAGGACCCAGCACCGTGACAAGCTGGAGCTCTCCCGAGAACCCCTTTGCGCCGAGAAGGGGAGAGAAAGATGGCCCCCCGACACGTGCATGCAATCTGCTCTTGGATGCGGTCAGTGCATCCCCCCCCCCGTCTGCGGTGCACCAGACCGAGCTGAGCATCGCCGTGGTCCAGGATGCACTTCTTCCTACGGGCACCATGCCAACGCAAACACAGCCATGTGTGTACACCATGCACACATGCAAAATTCATCTCTTCCCTTTACATAATGCACTTGCCGTCACGTTCCCAGAAGGATTCTGTGCCTTTAATTATTCACATGGGACTCTTCGCTTCACCCTAGCAACCGCGCTTGTGTCAAAGGTTTTGAATCCGATTCCCGTTCCCTGCTAAAACACAAACGAGATAATTGGCTCCTCTTAAGTTACAGCTAGATTTGTAGCAGCTCTGGGCAGTGCCGGTGATAGGCAGAGTGGCACACGCCTCCGGCTATGCAAGCAACGACGCCCTCCGCAAGTCCTGTTGGAGCAGGCAGCTTCCCCGTACGTGATCTCAGCCATGACAAGTGTCGCTGACCTGAGCTTGCCTCCAGATAGCCAGCTGTCTTGCGGCCGAACCCCCCAGCTGCAAGGGAAGCAGGCTCATGCCCACCACATCCAATGTCCCGCAGCCTTGCCAGCCCTTTATTATGGCGTGGTGCTGCGGCTACAGGGGAAGGCGCTGTCTGAGCTTCTCATTCGGGAGATGCGACTTGGCAGGCCTTTGGGTGAAAATGTGACGTAACGAGCCCAAAGCCGGGTTGATTTGCACTCCTGCACACTCCAGGCTTAGTTTATATGGAGCAGACTGAACATCAGCCAGGGGTTTGGCTCAACAGCCTGTGAGAAAAGGCCTCTTCCTCTGCACGCAGGATTTCGGGCGAATGTTTCTGGATTGCACGCGTCCCAGTTTGGAGAACACGTTCTTCCTTTCGGTCCCCACAGGCCGCAGTGCTGGCATGAAATGTGATCGAGGATTTATAGGCCTGCGCTCGGTTTCTTAAAGAGCTTTGCTGGTAGTCTCATAATTGTGGAAGCCAGCGGACCAGGCATTGTGCACGGTGTATTACTCCACATGCACGTGCCATGTTCATTTGCTTCTTTTAATTTGCTTTTCAGCCCCGAGCAGGAAATCCAGAGTTATCCCACGCTGCTTTCTTCCTCCTTCAAAAGCCTTGGCAATGTGGATGCTCCTTTGACTCAGTAACAACAGTGTTTCAATTTTCGGGTTGTTTTTTTTTAATTGACTACCCAGAATGAACTACCCAAAATGAATTAATTGACTACCAAAAATGAACAATTTGGAGTTGCTATGTTTTAAGAACAAAATGGCCAGTCATCACTCGGTAACTCCCCGTTGCATACCATGTGTCCTATGCCCTGTAGTTGGTTGCATGAGTTCCCTAATACCAAGTGTTGTTGGTTGTAGCTGTGTTGGTCTAAGGACAGAGGCAGACGAGGTTCTTTGGGTAAATCTCATATCTTTTATTAGACCAACTAAGTAGTTGGAAAAATTGTTCTTTGCAAGCTTTTGGGTACAAACACCCTTTTCCAGGCACAGTTAACTCTCCCTGTGCCTGAAGAAGGGCGTTTGTACCCAAAAGCTTGCAAAGAACAATTTTTCCAACTATTTAGTTAGTCTAATAAAAATACACATTTATTACCCAAAGAGCCTGGTCTGTTCTAATCCCAAACATTTTTTCTACAGCGCTTTGCTTCACCCCACAACCTTCCAGCTACCTCTACACGGGCCTGGGAGGGACACAGGTTGACACAGATATCACTATGCACCGTTGTGTGGGTAGTGTGCACGGGCAGCCTTCAGGATGGAGAGGGCTCAGCTTGAAACTGCAGCAGGGGCAATCAGGTGCAAATCACCCACACCAGCAAAGTGCACGTGCAAAAAACCTGGAGTGGACAAAGCCACATTGCAATGAAAGTTTTCTTCTCTGCTGACACCCTGCTTCTCTTGGCAGCATTTGGTAGGGTGGATTTAAGGGACTGGGCCTACCTTGGGAATCCAGGATCAGGCCCTTAAAAAGGGCTAGAAATCTACCCGGGGCTTCAGTTTTATGCTTGAATGCTGTGGGTTTGTTATTTCTTAGGGCACATTATTGCCTCTGCCACATGGGTTTTTACAGCAGCGTAACCCCATCAATGCCTGTGGGGTCCGTGCAACACGGCCATGGCATAGGGGATGAAGACCGGACTGCAACGTGCTCCTGCCTTTGGGCTCCAGTCCTCATCACCAGGTTGCTTTGTGCTTATGCAAGCGGGAATGAAATGGGAATCTGGCGCTCTGCGTATAAATAAAGGCCATGTGCGTGAACGGGCTGTCCTTCTCCTTTCCTAAAATGCTTGACCCGTTCACCTCCCGACCAATAACGCTTTAGCCATAGCCGATTAGTGCAGTGCTTGGGATAAGATGCCTTTGGTACCGTGCTGAACTCTGCCCTCTGCGTAGGCTCTTGATGTAAATCTGAAATGATTACTGTATTTAGTCAGCTGGCAGCTTGTCAGAAGTGTTAAGAAAATCCTGCTGGTCCTGGCTGGCCAGTAGAAGTTACCCATCAAATCCAATGCATGTAACAGATGCCCAGGGGAATTTGTATAGCCTTCTTTTATTTTATTTTATTTGTCCATATGTGGCCAGTGCCCAAATGTGTCGGCGTATTTCCTGCATTCAGATACAAGTGTAATATCTGGAGCTTGCCCCTGATAAAGGGACCCTGAGGAAAGCTTTCCCATTAATATTAAACCGATATTTCCCATAACCCTGCAGAGAATGTCTTTGACACATAGATGAAATCTGCACAGTGAAATCATTGAATCACAGAGAAGTGGGGCTGGAAGGGACCTCCAGAGGTCATCCAGTGCAAACCTTGCCTGAGGAAGGATCAGCCCTATCCTAACCATCCCATACAAATCCACTATCGAGCCTATTAGCAAAGCTACACGCTGAACCCTGACACGGCCACAAGACACAACCACT